CAACAAACTTTTTAAGATACAACCGAAACTTAAAACATCTATTCCCAGTCGGAAAGATCGTAGAGAGGAAGTTGTCCTCGCTCGGCTCCGTCCTGGGCACACATATCCTACTCATTCGTACCTTTTAAAACGAGAAGATATACCTTCATGCCACGCATGTGACACTCCATTTACAGTGGAACATTTTTTAATAGAATGTTCCGATTTTAAACACATATTTTATAGACTCTGATGTCTTTTAACCCATCTTACCATTTTTGACGTTATATATATATCGCATATTCCATATCATCTATTCGTTATCTCGTTTATTATTTTAACCCCCTTTTTTATTTTTTATTATCTACACATACAATGCGAATGCTTTTAAAATGAAACATTTTATCTGATTTTATCTTCGCTACTCACATGTTTGTTAAAAAAATAAAATAAATAAATAAATCACCATGGCCCTAAATGACCACAGCCGTCGATGGGCCGTTAAACATAAACAAACAAACAAACAAGCATAGGTGACAGTTGTTATGGTGATAGTAGAGAAAATGAGTACATAGTTGTCATGGTAAATATTTATAAAACAGAACATATATAGCTGACATGGTAATGCTAGAAGAAAGGAGAATGAAATAAAATTATGAATAAAAGCTGGGTTAGTCAGCTATCAGCCCATTGCTCACTATCATGTGGAAGTGTGGGATATTACTTTAGTTTTCCATTGGACAAGAATCTTGTTTTATTTTTAATTGATTTTCAATGTAACCGGCTTTGTACAGAAGGCTGCAGTGATAAAGTGATCTGTCTGGTTATTCCCCTACCTTGTGTGCAGCACTGTGAGAGAACCGGGCGTTGTGGAAAGGCCCTCGTTTGTATGACACCCACAGCTGAAGGCTATCCCCTGGACCACCAAGGAGGTGCTGAAATCAGACAAAACATTCAATAAACAATCCTTTTTTACTTAAAAATCCTGCAACTTCTTCAAGTATTACTTCATATACCCACAGCAGTAAAATCAAGTGTGTATCCATAAATGTGTAGAAATTCGGAATTTTCGGTCACACTTAAAAATTCTCAACTTGTCAAGCAAACTCACCACTTTCTTTGTGACAAACATGTAAGCGCCCTTGATCTCAAAGTCTTCCACGTCGGTCATCAGCGTAGTGATATCACGAGAAAAATAGTCCGAGCTCCTCAGTAGCGTGCTTTTCCCGCTGCTCTCTATGCGCTCCACGTAAGTGTCGTTAGCCTGGTCGTATGGCGCTTCACCCCTGTTATAGATTAATTACAATACATGTTAATTAATCAGCAACAGTACAGTAGCACCTGTTTAATTTGACCCCTGAGTATTCTGACACTCTTTTCTTATCTAACCTGAGTATTATGACATCCTCCTACCCAAGCAATTCCGGCTAAATACTTTTTTCATTGTTATTTCGTAACGTTTTGTCCGTGTCACATGATTTAACTCATTCACCCCTGAAATTTTATGATGGACTATTCCAACCTTTGATTTGGAAGAGTTCAAATGTGTCTTCAGGGGTGAATGAGTTAATGAAGTTACTAGTACCAGAAAGTTGGTTTAAGCACATTATTATATTTGAGTTTCATAATCCTGGATAATCCAGGGGTTACGCTCACTTTCACTCTCTGCACCCCTGAAATATGTCATTGCAAAATTGAAGACTCAGATCTAGAGTTCACCATCTTATAAATGAGACAGGAAGACTACATGTAGGTTGATCCTTTGATGCACATCAAAAGAATCTGTCAGTCACGTAATGGTAGAATTGACTGACTTTGAAGTCGAGTGTTGCTCCTCTGTAATCTTCGAAGGACAGACCTGTATCAGCCTAGCAATGGGTCAGGTGTTTTTTACCCGAGACCAAACAAATAGCTAGCTGCATGCCTTAAATTTTGCTATGATAGATCGATGCAGGGAGCGAAAGTGAGCATAACCCCATCGAGGATGGTAGTATCAAGGATGGTAGTATCAAGGATGGTAGTATCAAGGATGGTAGTATCAAGGCTGGTAGTATCGAGTATCGAGGATGGTAGTATCGAGGATGGTAGTATCAAGGATGGTAGTATCAACGATGGTAGTATCAAGGATGGTAGTATCGAGTATCGAGGATGGTAGTATCAAGGATGGTAGTATCGAGGCTGGTAGTATCAAGGATGGTAGTATCGAGGATGGTAGTATCAAGGATGGTAGTATCAAGGACGGTAGTATCAAGGACAAAGTTTTATGAACACCGATCTCTGTGAAGGAAGAGAAGTTGGTGATACTTACAGGAAAAAAGCTTTCACCTCCGCCTGCATCAGTCTCCAGTTCATCCCGAAGTCCACGGAAATGTAAACCTGCACAGACAAAAATCATTTTTTTCTCAATCAATATTAGATGACACAACTTAATTCTCAATCCTCATTGGTTAGATCATGATCACATGGTGTTCGGTGTTTTGTTATATTGACTCGGTGTTTATATTTTGTTTATGTTTTACGTCCTATTAACAGCTGTGGTCATTTAATATAAGGAAGTACCAGGTTTTGGTGATGAAGGAAAGCTGATATTCCCGGAGAAAAACCACCGACCTACGGCCAGTACCTGGCGACTGCCCCACGTAGGCCTCGAACCCGAGCCCAGTGGTGGAGGGCTAGTGGTAGCAGAATGTCAGACGCCTTACCCACTTGGCCACCGCAGCCCCTCAATGTTAATAATTTTAGACATCACTTTCATTGTAACCTCAAGATTTCAAAATTTCTTCAAGACTTTTATTTACACTCTGCCAGACTATGTGTGGAACAAGAGGTCTCGTGTACATTTATACAGACATTCATGGTGAAAATTATACTGAACATACCGGTATTACAAATTTATAGGCAAACTTATACCGTACACACAACTTATTATCATTGCAGATTACATTTTTCCATCGAGTGTCTTTCAATCATTTAATTATAATAATTCACAATACTCTCTGCCAAATGCAGTACTTTTCTCTTTGACATTTGTTGTATGTTCTGTATTGTGTAATGATTAATTACCTAAGAATCCTTATTATAACAATTTAAGACTTCTAATTTTGTGAATACATTGAATGTGGTTACGAGGACCTGACAAAAAGTGATATTGACCATGAATTCATCAATATCACTTACTCAGGTCCATATTTACTTTAACAAAAATCTGTACCTGGTAATTGATAAATACTGGCATACATATGCATGTATGGTCTAGAGATAGCATTGTACTAGATGACAAAATGATCATATATTTATCATAAACAATGCCCCTTGATGCTGTACATACTAAAGGCTTGAGGTGACCTCTTTTATGAGAATTTGGGAATGCAGTTGCTAAAAGGCTAGATAAATATTCAAAAAACCATTGCAAGTGTGTGTGTGTGTGTGAGTGTGTGGGGGGGGGGGGGGGGGGGGGGGGGGGGGGGGTTCAGTTCAAGGAATTATGAAAATCCTGATCTAAACCTTGAAATCTGCCTATAATAGCACTATCAATGAACCCTCCCATTTTTAAAACCTAAAGAAAATGTTCTCTAAAGGTTTGTACTTTCAACATTATAAACTACTATATATTTGTCTGGCAATAAGCCCATGCCTGGTAATAAGCCCACCCATATCTATTGCAGTCCAGTACAATTCTAGCAAGTAACATTTAATTGCCCTGTAATAAGCCATCCCATACTCACAGTCAGAAATTACGTGTTTTTTCCCTGGGCTTACTGCAAGATAAACACAGTAAGTGAGGGCAACTGTTCCATCACAGACAATTGCTAGAGCTATTTCAAACCCTTGGTTACAATTTACCTGTATTATACAAATTAAACAGATTCACCTGTACACACATTCTTGCAGGTAAACTATACCTGTTTATATCAAACATACCTTCTTATTTTCCTCATCATCGTCGGTGCCGAGGAGTATGTCGGGGTTGCTATGGTGAAGGGCGATAGTTTTGGGCCGGAACGGAACACTGTACGGTGTGAAGCTTTGTCCATAGTCTTTTGTCGTAAATATGTAGTTATTTGCGATGTCCGTGAAAACGTACTACAATGAAATAAACAGAAGCATGCAAAAATGAGCTTCAACATCAAATGTTAAACTTTTTCTGTTGGTTGTACATTTACTGTACACCTTTAAAAAATATATTTTAATTATCCATCTATCATCAATGTTGAATAAAACAGTTAGTATTGAAGAATTACCGCTAGACCTTTTTGCCTTTTAGGGCTTCTTCAGGCGGACCTAAATTACATTGATAACACAAAAGTTTACACATACATTGCATGTATAAACAATTTTACTCATCCTACTAACAATATTTTTTATACCATTTAAAAGACTTGAAATATTTTGTCTTGATTAAGCTCTTTTCAAGCACTTTTCAGCACTATTTTAAAATTTTAAATGTACAAGTTTTCAGATTTAACTGTTTTTAAATATAAAGTTACACTACTCTATTAGATAAAACACGAAATTAAAACAAATCAAAACAGATTTGAAATGATCAATTAGCTTTTATTTATAAGTTATACATAAACACTAACCTTTAAACAGTCTGAAGTTCAAGTATTAGAATACATATTGAATTTCTTCAGTACATTTTGTATTTCAAAACTTTTCAAGTAAACACTTATTCATCAGCAGTTCTCAAGCACTGACTTTAATTCTACAATCTGAATAAATACAGCTGTTCATTATTACGTACCGCATGCCGTAAGTATTTTTATTAACATCTGATTTTAATGAGATTGTTAATTCCAGCACTTAACATGGCCTTTACAAACCATGTTTTCTTTATAAAAGCTTATTTACAGTTAAGGACCCCTGTGACACTGCAGGCAAAATACTAAAGAGTTCCACTGTGATTTTTCTAATAAACAGTAATCTCCCCTTCGATACGTTAAGATATTACTGCAGAGGGACATTGACTGGATCTCCGGACTATAGTTTATAAGGTAGTTCGGTTGGTTTTAGCGGTTGTTTTATGATCAGGGGACCAGGGTTCAAATCATGGTTTGGCACTGTTTTTACACTCAGAATGTTTACTGTTCGGTTTTTTTAAACTAATAACTGTTACAGGTATCTTGAAATAAAATTTCCATATTAATGAGCTGCTTTTCAAAATTATTTATTTATGCTGTTGTAATGTTAGGGAAAAAAAAAATCATATTCCGGTGTTTTTTTACCTGAATTTTACAACAGCCTGTTCCTTTATGAATTGGGAAAGTATAGCACTAATTTTTATGATGTATTGAAATTGTAAATGTATTAATACAATTCCTCATTTTTGGACATTTTGGTAAAATAAGGCACCTTTTAGCTAATTAGGGAAACAGCCTGTATTCGGCTGTAAAACTGAGCAAACAAATTCAATGAATTCATAGATCTATATAGTTTTTAGCAGCAGTGGTTAAGGGATCCTTAAAAGTTTTCCTTCAGGTAACAAGAGTCTAACATTTGAGTTTGTTTGGGCACTCTCAACAAAATTCTATTTAAATTTTTATTGTTTACATTGCTCATATATAACAAGGTCGTTTGAATGCATTTACATATACTGTATACTTATAGTCATAAAATAAAGTTAAATTCAAATTTCAATAGAGACCCTAGAAATTCAATTTTATAGCATGGCCTTGTTATTGGACACAAGCCAATTTCTGCCAGTGTGTACAAAGTCACGGAGTAGCTACAGGTAGTACTACATGTACAATGCGGGGACACACCCAACCGACACAGATACAGCAACACATGATGTTACGACCAGAAAAGGAAAAAACTTGTATTTCACCAGGAGTACATTATACAATTCCATTAACCAGATGCCTGGCGACACCTAGGACTATTGAAAATTTTGAATATTTAATCACGAAATTGAGCTGGTAATTTTTATTTTCAAAGTCTACCTGTGGGCTGTTTTATAAATATCAAATTGTACTTCCCTGTTCATGCATATTAAATAAGACTACCAGAGTTTGAGAACATTTTCCGAAACCTGGGGCTAGTATATTTTATGTCAGGGCTTGTGAATTTTTCAATATTTACTAGGAAAACACAGGTTCTGCTTGTAGATACTTTTTTTAAATCTTCCTTTGGGCTTGTACATACTTTTAATAAACACATTAATTTTGAGATTGTGAATTGAATTATCTAAGATTTCAGTCTTAACATCTCATTTTACGCTTACTGCATTTTGCTTCCAAATCATGAAGAAAATGTGTCAATCTCATTAGGAATGGGGCTATATAAATTGACAGCAAAAGCTCTACAGTTTTAAAAACCTTGACATTTGACGCCCCCTTTTTGAACAGCTATCCATGCATGCATGGCGAACTTATATTAAACTGTCAACACATTACAACATCCACCTTTCCTTTCAACCATTACCCTTCTAAACATGTTTTTTTTACGCTCCCTTTGCCTTCTATTTACTTCTAAATTTTGCTGATTTGCAAAAATGGTAAATTCGATAGGATCTTGCTTATTTGCAAAGTTCAGGTCTAGGGGCCGTGGCACACACCGGTATTATTATGGAAATGATCAATGAATTTGCACTTGCTTAACATTTTTATGAAAAATGTGTAACTGTGAAAATTTAAAAAAAAATAGAACCTTGCCAATTTAAAAATCAAAGTTCAAATCTCAATGAAATTGGATCTATCAATATCAGAGCTCACCACCAAAGGTAAAATAAAACAACATAGACACTGCAAAATGCTTGCATAATGAACAATTTTTAAAGCATCATCAAAGTCGTTTTTAAACACCAACACTGCCATGGACATGCACAAATAACAGCTGTAAAACAAGGATTAACTATTAGTTTGTTTGTTTGGGGGTTAATGTCCTCACAACAGCAAGGGTCTTATATGAGGACGGGTGCCTAGGGAGACACCAGCTGAAACAGAAAGTAGATTGAAAGAACGAGAAACAGGAAGGATAGGAAAAAAGAAAGATACCAAACGTCGCAATGGGGGCAGCAGATCAATTTTGGTCTCTTCATGTCCTCTTCATAGCAATAAACGCTTGATTCCGCAGGGGGACCCCACATTAGTTGCCATTTACGATACACATGCAGTGGGATACAACAGGTCTATTTTTGATTTCTTTAATGTCCCATAAATAACAGACAAGGAAGAAACCACCCCCAATTCTGCTGGGGGGGAAAGGTTTTACTTATTGTTATCAAGGCACAAAGAAGCTTCCGACATATATATATCATACTCACAAAATTGTTGAAGACTTTGCTGTTGTAGTAATGATCAATGATGGGTTTTTTGCCCGACGGCAGCCTAAGTTTGGACTCCACGTTGGTGAAGCTCTCGCCATAGTTGTAGGAGATAAACAGGTTGCTGCTGCCGGTGGAATCGTTGAAGGGACGGCTCTCTTTAGAGAGTGCGAGAATCACATCACTTCCGACACCCGCCCAGTGCACGATCATCTGGTTGTGACTGTCGTTCAGTTGGACCTATAGAAATAACACATCAATAACATTTATCATTAATATCGTACGATAGGTTCTTACTTGTGATTTTGATCCAAAATTAGAAACTTTAATTAACACAGATTATCCTTTCGCGATAATTTAGACATGTACAGGTGATCTAAAGGAACTAAATTTTCAGAATTTTAGTAGAGAGACAGGACACTCGACATTGAACGTGTCAAATCGTCAAATCAATAGGCTTTATGACACCATAGTGTCATATTTACACAAATCATCAACAAAACTATTAGATGCATGATATAACCTATTTTCAAACGTCAATACTATTTATGTATATTAATTGTCACAATCACATCTGCACTATTTAACAACATTACAGATAATTATGAGGTTTACTAGTAATATCATGGCTCAGCTATATATCAGGGCCTCATGATCAGATCATTTTGAAATTATCCCAGTAAAAGGCATGATTTGCTGTATGGCCTTATCTGACTGTATTTTTTATTGATCTGGGACTCCTAATGTTTCCTTCCTGGTCAGGTGAATTTCTTTCCTACTTAGATTTCTGTGTCTTTCTAGTGTTTACCAAGTTGGACCCAAAAATCCTCTTCCAGTTTCGGATTCACCGATATAGAGGAATGTGATGCATCACACTTTCTGCATCCAAATTTTATTATGATTCTGCAAACTTTTCTCTTTCAAGGTGTTATAAATCTCCTTAGCGGGACCAGGATATAACGGAGCATCTTGTGGGTTGTCGAGACTGTGCCATTACTGCAAGATATTTGATAGTTGTGTATACCGTAATCCCTTTTTCCCAATTTTACACCTTTGATTTTGTTCTTATCCTAAATCGGCTTTTTCCTGTTGTTCCCCTTAAGTTAACTTTGATACTGTTTTTGTACCCCATCGATTATGCATTTGCAGTACTTGTGTTGATACAGGTTGTCAAATCTTTCTGTGGTTCTTAAAAGTCAACAGGTGTCCAGCAAGCTTATTCACTGGAGTCTACAGCAATTATCTCTGGGTTTTCTTCGCATGGTTAAATTAATAGATGATTAATTTGAGGAAACTACCATGCATTAGTTAGACTTGGAAAACAAACACTTGATACAGCTATTATGCAATAATTTACACACGTATGATTATATTTAATTTGGCAACGATCAAACAGTGTGTGTATTCAGTTAGTGATATTTGCCATCTTGAAATGTGTTAATTTAAGTACACTAAACAGGAAACCCGAATGAGAATCTGGAACTACTACTTTTAATTTTTCATGAAAGCATTTTGATCAGCGTGAAGATACATGTGTAAGATGTGCACATGGTGTGGAGGTTCAGGGGTGATTTGTAATACTAAGACCGCTTTTAAACATGATTCAATAGTCAACCTTTACAGTGTAGTTAAAAAAAAACACCATACCGCATCTATTTTGACGGAAACAGGTAAAGAGTCCGAAATAAATTGCATAACACATATGAAATAACTTATAACACTTTAATAATCTGTTAAATTGACAAAAATCTGATTTCAGACAAAGAAGTCGCATCATAATCCCGTCAGAATGCGTTTTGCAGCGATGTGCACGTCGTCGATAAAACATTTGTTATTGCGATATATCGGCGAATCGAAACCAGGAAGTTTACCAGCTGCAGCATCACGTGATATCGATAAACGTAGGAGTCAGTAGGCTATATTATAAGCGAAAGAAGCTATGACATTCAATTTGGTGACAGTTCATGAACTGTCTGTTAATATAACAATCCTCACTTACCGCAGTGACTTGAGGGTCGTGTTTATTTAGAGGGGGCGGAACAGTGGCTGATCTCCGAGTTCGGTGAAGACGTTCAACTTCTAGGCTTACGTCAGCTTCTACGACGGCCGTCCGGGCATCATATAAGCGTGATCGGCCGCTGTTGGCTGTATGTATGGTGGTGGACTGTGATCCATATCGCTCAGCAACCACCACGCCGAGCAGATTAGTTATCAGTAAAAGTATCCATCGCTGGGACCAATACATCCCAGATTTGGTCGCCATCTTTGTTTACTACGAATATAGGCGTAAAACGGTTATGATTCCGCACTTTTGATATAGAAAAAGTAGTTTCGTTATAAAACACAAATGAAATACGAAATGATATCGTTTAAGTAATAATATTCTTATGAATACATTTTTTAGAAATATTTCCTTTATCTGATAAGTGTTTTTCCTCTTTTCTGTGTTATAAATATTCCTCCGCGAATAACAATAGTTTTTCAGTCGCAATCGTTTGTGCGCAAAAAATAAGTTAGATTGAATGTCGGGAACTAAAACATATTGCTGATCACCTGAGAATTATGTCACAGCAGGAACGTATTATACGTCTCTGGTCACAACCTGGGCGGTGGAGCATGTCGGGTACCTGTGTACTTAATAGTAAACATGGTGTTTGCGCAACACTTAACCTTTAAAAATCACATCACGAGATTTTTAATGGAGATTTTGTTATATAGGCCTACATATAATAGGCCCGAGACGTCTCTACATAGGCCTATATACTGACTCGGGTTGAAAAACATCTAATAGGGGTACATAGCGTAATTTTATTTTAGACTTCATTATATCACATTAGAAACTAACATTTCTAATAAAACATCAGAATTTGTTTGCATTTATGGTTTATTTAATTTATTTCTCAATATCTAACAATTAAGAATAATTGAAACCAATTAACCATGCAGTTCCAGCTGAAAATGGCATGAATCAGAGACGTAGACATATGTTTAGTTACATCAGAGACGTACATATGTTTAGTTACATCAGAGACGTACATATGTTTAGTTACATCAGAGGTTGCATATTTTATTTAATATAATCAATGTAAACAACTTCGAAAACGTTCTCTTCCTTATAAATAATATGCAATTGGCTTTATAATGATAATAATATACAACTATACAATTAAGCCACTCTAAATCGCTTTACACACAGTACATAGATATATGCAATTAGGATATACAATTTTTGACGAATTCGCAGGAGCTGCCTTATCAGGTGCTAACTACTAGTCATATGCCACCTGGCTAATATCTCCCTATGTGTGTATGCCTGCGTGTGTGCTGGAGATGTATTAATGACAGCAGATACATATATAGTGGTAATCTCATATTTACATATTTTAAATAAAATCAAAAATATTGACTTTATAAATATGATGAAAATCAATCAGATATTTTTGTAGAAATATCCAAAAATGGATATTTTTTAATGTTGTTTTTTGCCAGTACAACGCATGGTACAAAATAAATACATGCACATTTTGAGTTAACCCTTTCACCCCTATGTAACTTTAGTAGACTCTACCATACATTGATATGGATGAGTCCATTATGGTCTACAGTGGTGAAAGGGTTACTATATATATGTAAGTACAATATTGATCAATATAATTGAACAAAAATATGTATTGTTATAAATATTATAACAATATTGCTAGATGCATCCTTCCATTGTAATGCATTGCGAATACAAATGTTGTTATGAGACTATAACAACATTAGCTATTGTAACGTCATCAATCTCTTTTGTGACGTCATCAATTTCATTGTCGTCAGCACTTGATTTGCTGTGTTCGAAATAACTAAATAAAGCATAACTACTCTATCAAAATGTGAATATTTTAGCATATATTTTTATGGTCCTATAACACACATTTCTATTGCTGTCAAACTTACATACCGGGCTTTATTAAGTTGGTCATCAATAGCAATGCTTGTTATAGGACCATAACAACATTTTCTAAAACATTCATTGCATAAATAGTGTTCAAATAAGTGAAAATTACAGTATTTTTTAAACAATTACAAATGTGATGATTTCGCTCAGTTTCGCTCAGTTAACATCGTTGTAAGCTAACTAGTAGCTTGTGGTGATGCATGATGGTCCTTTCTTCTAATGAATGCTGTACACACGCGTACTAATTTGACTTCTGGTTGCGATATATATAGTTATTTACAGTTTCAGGTTCATTTCTTTATCTGGTAGGGTTGGAGTATTCAGCTCCCGCTGTTGATTCCTCTCCTTTTAAAAAATGGTGAAATCAACCTCCCTCAACCAATAAACTAGACACGCTGTCCTTCTTCTAACCGAAAGTTTTTAGCCCCGATCAAACAATTGGTTTCATTGATTGAGGTCGTCCCAATTCCTTCTTACATTACCACCACCTTACCACAAGGTTGCAAGAGGTTGAATATATCACATTCATCAAAACTTAAACAACGCGCTGAGTATTTTTAATACAGTTTTGAATAGTGATATAGATGTCTTCGTTACCTTCTTGACTGAGATCAGAGCCATTCAATACAATATCAATATTTTTTATTTATTTTTTATTTTTTTGTTTTTCATTTTTTTTTAAATTTGTATACAATACAGTTACAATATATACATAACATGACATAAAACAAGCATATATATAAAGACACACACACTCATTCATTATCATACAAATACCAATACAATTATCAGAAAGGAAACGTAGGATTGTTGAAAATTTGTATAATATTTTGAATTTCTCTGTAAGCTAGCTGTCACTGTGAGCTTAATCAATATTTACATTTACTCAATTTAACAATTCTATGTATAAATTGACTAATACTTACAATATCAATATTAATAAAACCGTATATTTAGACAACATTTCTGAAGAGTACAGTACAGTAGTCCTCATATAAATTACAATCCATAAAAAATGATAGCTATTTTCAATTGGATACGAACACCTGCACGCCGGAGACATAACTAAATTTACTCTAAAAAGATCTGAATTTAAGGTGCTGTATCCATGTCGAAGCCTGGTTTGTATTATTTCAAGCTTATTAGCATGTTTATCTATTTCAGTATTATTTTTGTTTTAAATTGATACAGTGTTATTATTTCTTATTGAGTTATCTAACGAATTTCACATATTTTAACTGTATTAGGGAGAAATGATTTGTCATATGAGGTTAATCTACTTCATGGTATAACATAATCTTGATTATTTCTAAGACAATATCGACTAATTTCATTAACTCTGTTGGAACAATATGTCATTTTGATAGGAAGGATCTCATTTATATTGCATTTTATAAAATAAAATAAATCTTTTAGGTTTTCTTCTATCTTCGAGCTTTTCCCATCCAGTTTCAGTATATAAAGAGTGTCTGCTTACAAATGATGGAAGACCGGTAACTACTCATGCTGCTTCAAGTTTAAGTTATTTATTTTTTATTTTTCTGAATCATTTTTGTTACAGCCATCTCAGAGTTCGCTTGCATATTCTAATAATAGTCTAATGAAAACAATATATAATTTAGCCAGAATTTATTTTGTATTTCAATTTACGCAAGACAGACAATTGTTTAGAGACTGGATTTTGCTATATTTTCGATATGAGCTTCCCATTAGCATTAATAGTTACTTCAAGATGTTTGTGAGTGGAACTATTTTCCAATAATACACCATTAAATAAACAATTGACTTGCATTTGTCGCAACATCTTCGCTAGCCAAGGGTTACGATCCGGTACAATCAAAAGTGTCGAAGGGAATATAAGCTGAAATAAAAGCTGTATCGAAGTCTTGCTATAAACGTTTTGTTCCTGTATAATGCGATTGAGATATATGTCTTTTACTTCACAATGAGATATAATCTCATTTCATTATATAATATATAGTACTCGTTCTACCTTCATGTTGAGGTTGTATGATTGACTTTGAAGTTTTGTTATTTCCTAGAAATTTGGTTAGTATTATTTCATAAACAACTAAATTATGCAACTAAATTATGCTTCATAAGAGTCCGCTAAGTTACCTTAGGAAAACCTTCAAGTTTTCCCAAACCTATGACAATTTCCTAATTTGTAAATATTATGTATGGAATTGAATCTATTGCATATGTACTCCACCATTGTACAAGATATTTGTAAAGTATTTATCTATATGTATATTTTTGTACGCCTATATGCAATGTGCATTTGGTAATAACTTAAATTGGAAGACCGGATCGTACCGGATCGTACCGGATCGTTACCCTTGTCTAGCGAAGATGTTGTCGTAACGACCCATTAAATATGAATATTTCTGTTTTATTATGGTTCAAGTTTAATTGACACTCTTTTGACCCGTTATCAATTATAGCTAAAGAATGGTTAATACAATTTTCTATTTCAATATTATCATTCGAAGAGTAAACTATAGTGACGTATCATCTGCAAACATTCTTGATAAAGAAAGTAAATTATCAGATATGTCATTTATAAACATAAGAAATATAAACGGACCCAGGACGTACGTGTGTCTTTATATGACTCTGCATGGATTTCAAATGATAGCATAATTGGTTGACGTTTGCGTTTCTTTTGATGAAAACACATGCAACAAAGCTAGTTCAGAAGAAAAATAAAATCACAAATTCAATGATTGAACAAGTATATGATCAGGTACATATAGTGTTGTAAACAAAATTAAAGTTGGATTGTGAAACCGTCATAAAATGCTTTAGTCGCGTTTGATTTGAAACTGCGTTTGTTACCAGTTTGTTAAATAGTAACACGCGGGGGAAAATGCTTTAGTCGCGTTTGATTTGAAACTGCGTTTGTTACCAGTTTGTTAAATAGTAACACGCGGGAGAGATTTCCAGCCTTCAAAACACGGAAATACGTCCACCACCACGTGGGTTTTCTTGGGGTACGTCGACCTCCAATGGTTCTGCTCCCGATAAGCACCTTCTTCACGTTTTGTTGGGCTTGGTTTTATTTTGTTTAACGTCCTATTAACAGCTAAGGTCATTTAAGGATGCCTCAATGTGTGTTGTGTATGCGTGTGTGTGTGTGTGTGTGTGTGTGTGTGCCGAAGACGGGGTATTTTGGTGTACTTGTCTCCTTGTGATAGCCCGGATCTGTTGCTGACTTTATAGTGCCATCCTCGATAGCGTAGGTGAGCGTAACCTCGGGATATCAAGGAGGTTATAGTGCTATCTCACTGAATACCATGTTGGAGGCACAGGGACCTGATAATTTATTATAGCTATATTTGGACCTAAACTAATGGGTCCAGAGTAATTTAAAAGTTTAAGGGGTTTAGATCGACTTTAATTTTTACCCAAAGTCGATCTAAACCGCTAAAACATGTAAAATTACTCTGGACACCTTTGTTTAGGTCCAAATATAGCTGTAACAAATTAGCAGGTCCCTGTGATTGGAGGCACCCGGCACAGTCAATGTTAATTCTCGTGTCAAGTTACATACACGAACGACGTACACGACAAAACGTGTCTCAAGACACGGATGCCGCGCTCCCACACTTAAAATAACTAAAGCAAGATCACAACATGGGAGGGGTGAGGCTGTCATGATGTTATAATACATTATGTAACCGGTACATGCTATACAATTAGACGGTAAAATAGTATATGTCTTACACCTTTTGTGGTAGGGCATAAAAACGGGGACCCAATGAACTACCCTGGGGCCATCCTCGATATCCAGGAATTACGCTTACTTTCGCTCTCTAGAGCGTAGGTGATCGTAACCCCTGGAATTCGAGGATGCCCTGGGGCCTATCTGTCGTATAAGATTTAAAACTATATTGTATTAAACAATTATTAGCATTTTTTCATAAAAAGTACCGTGGTCTACAGTGTCAGATGCTTTTGAAGATCTGAAATAACCATGTACCTTTAAATCGAGTTTTCGCAGTTTTACATTCGATATGAACGACCTAATACTCAAGTGTTAAGAAAACCGTAAGTCGACCTCAAAATATAAACAACTAAATATTAACATGGAAATTATTGAGAGATTTTTTTTAGCAAATTAAGCCCATGTATTCCGGAAGAGTAAGTGCCTTCTGCTTCATTAACGACACATGCCATTTGAATCTTCGTGAAATCTATGTTCAATGTAATGTCACGTCCTTACACCGAGAACTCGGGTAATGATAACAAAACAACAGGCCACTCTAACGAGCATAATAATGAAGACTTCGACCTTAAATCACAAAAAATACACATAGCATATTTCCCAGTGAGATCACGATGGCGAACAGCGGCGTAGCATACTTGTATGCTGGTATACTAAAACTTTGAAGACTTTTTTTTCATATATTTTCAATTATTTCTCTCTCTTTTTTTTTAAAGGAAAATAGGAAAGAATAAAAATCTTCTTGAACATTTTATTTTGATAAATCGTGTTGTTATATGTCTATACACATTTAAAAATCTCGAAAGATTTATGTTTATCAAAAACTACTAAGTGAAGTACAAATTTTGATATTGTTTATATAAAAAGTCGGGCTATACTTTTTAATAATCAGACTATAAGGATTTCCCAGAATACGTGAGATTGCTACTAGGGCTTATTAGAACTCTTTTTTCTCCTCTTCCCATACCCTCCCCCTCCTCCGGGGCTACACGCCTCGGACGTTCGGCCCCTTATAAGTATAAGCTCAGAAAAAATTTATTTTGACCATGAAACTTGACCGTATTGTCCAGCCTGCACCTTTGGAAAACCGTGTATTGTTTGTTCGTCATCATTCGACATCTATCACGAAACGCATAAAAACAAATTACGACATGTAAACACTGTAGGTTAGGAGAGCATCAAGAACCGTCCATGTTGATAATTGTTGATAATGTAATATATAAGAACAAAAATAAACTTTAACTTACAACAAATACAAAGCCCCTCCCCACAAAAAGATATTTGTTGGCCTTGAAACCCATATGGTTTTGTAGGTGATCCATATAATTTCTTGTCCAATTGTGCTATCAACTGTGCTATCAATTGCGCTACTACTACTATAGCCCGAAAACCCCATNGGGGAGGGGGGTCCATGTGGGGAAAAATTGAGGAAAATTGTGAAAATACATGATTTTTAAAGAACATTTTCAGGATTGGGGGTTTCTTGAAGCCCCCCCAAAAAATATACAAAGCATATACTATGTAATAGCTTGATAATTTTTTTTCGAAAGACGAAATACTAACTTATCAGGCTTCGGTATTACAATTTTTCCAAATACCAATTAATGATAAGGCTACGGACCTGCCTCGTTCGTATTAGATTCCAATTCAACAAGAATCCTTCTAAGCAGCGTTTTGTCGATGGCTTTTTTAAGTGCTAGATTAAGCCATTATCTAAATTTTCTACTAGCATTCTTAGTACAATTAAATCGGTGTTACATATTGTAGCACTCTATATACTCAACAAATGGAATAAATCTGGATTTTGAAGAAATCGATAAGTCTCAAAAATGTGTCATCTATATATATATATATATACATAGATCAGAATTTTTCAATTTTCGACCCTTTACACTACCATACCACAAGGACCGGTGAATTTGTTACAGCTATATTTGGACCTAAACTAGGATGTTTAGAGTAATTTTACACGTTTTGAGGGTTAAGATCGATTTTCGGTAAAAAAAATTACCACCCCAATGATCATGACACCTTAGTTTGGGTCCAAATATAGCTGTAACAAATTCTCAGGTCCCTGTGTATCATACCGCATACCAAACTGAAGGCTGTTCATCTGGTTATGAGAGTTTTCTTTTTCAAGACAGGCGAACGGCGATATGGATAAAAGGTTGTAAATTCTTTTGAAACATACTTTGTGAAAAGCACAAAAACGCAACGAAAGGTACGAAGCCCTTTAATTAGGGGGGTGGNTCCTCCTCCTCCTCCTCCTCCTCCTCCTCCTCCTCCTCTCTCACCCACTCCATCTCCCAGGAAACACTTAAATGTAGCTCTATGTATAACCGACATATTTTTTTAATGCAACTGAAATTTGTAATTTATCAATTTGTTCCGCGGTTAATTTCATTTTTGTAAAGATTTTAGCATTGAAAATGTCCATGACTAGTGCAAACAGTCAATCAAAACATATTCCAATATGACAGAAATTAGTATTGCAAAGCGAAGCGAGGCATACCTTTTTTCATATTTCTCAACATCAGTATATTTTTTGGATATTTTTAAAAACCCGTTATTATTGTCAAGCGTAGTAAGGAGGCATTTTTGTAAGCATTTCTTTTATGTGACCTTTTGTTTTATCATATTGCATCGGTCTATGTTAAGTTGACCGACAAGGGCTTTGAATTTTGTTCATGAAAAAAAATTATGCACTCATATCTTGTAAGTAGTAAAAAAATTACTCACAATCAGAGGAAGACGTCCCTCACTAGAAATGTTACCCAAATCAATCGTCAAATGATATAAGGAGGAGGATCATCTGTCAGCAATCTTGGCCCACCTTCGTCTGTCAATTTAATTAGTTGAGTTATATATTACATACAATGTCATACCACAGGTTCTGGTCACAATTGATTTCCTGTCGGTTGCTTTTCTCCAGAAATACCTTATACAAGCAAGGGGATGGAACTCTGACATACCTTATTACCATATCCGGATACAGCTATTTCCGTCTTACGTGTACAGTTTTAGTAGGAAGAAGAAATGGCGGTGCTTTTGGATGTCAATTTGTAAACAAGAAAGAAGAAACGAGGTTGGAACTGTATCTGGTCAAAAAATCAACAAAAGGTTCCAATTATGGCAGTTCTTTATGTTTTTATATAAATTTAATATGCCTCAAGACAATGTTTTTTTATAGGATGATGAAAACAGTGCTGTTGACATTTGAGTAGGCGAGTATGAAAACACACATGGCGCGGCCTGACATTCGATGTCGTTTTAGGCTACCAGATCAGGGGATTATTATGCTCTTGACCAGGTTATTGCCGTCACGAATGTTTGCAATGTCCGCAGTTAAAATATCTTTGATTATAATGGGATTATGATGATATAAGTTATTCAGGTGGTTACACAATCCCGACTACACAGAATAATTGAATCACAGGGACCTGATAATTGGTTACAGCTATATTTGGACCTAAACTAAGGTGTTTAGAGTAATTTTACGCGTTTTGGGGGTTTAGATCAATTTTCGGTAAAACTGCCACCCCAATGATGATAATATATGAGAAGGGAGGAAAGCTCTGGATGTTCAAAAATCACATTTCTAGACTTGTGTATGAAAATATGCTTGATAAGTTACACGCCATTTCCATGTTAAAAAGTTTTTTGCTGTCATTGTGCCACATTTTTACATATTCATGAGGTTGACGTCATAAATCCTCTTGTGTGTACATAGCGTCAAGAGAAAACCACTAAATGTTCCGAAAAGCGCAACCATTCATTCCTCAGCAAACCAATGTTACAGCACTTGGCTGAAATCAACCTCATGAATTGAATCTATCTTTTGTAGTGGTTTTCATATATATGCATCAGGTTCACCGTTGTGCACAACAGTGTATGTGGGTAATAATCCTGCATTCCGGTAACACTAACTAACAGTTACCGTTTATAGTAACTTTTTTTATTACTGGGGAATAAAATTTAAGTGAAAAGAAAAATACATAAAGTTCTTTTAAATATTATAAAAGAATGCCAATGGTGTTATATTCTTTCAACAAAATCCAAAAAATCATCTGCATGATCTCTTTGGAACCTGCATGTAAATCAAGAAAGATGAAAATTACTGCCAAAGGTAATCAAACAAAAAAGAAAATTCCTCAAACATAAACTATAGACCTTAGTGTGACTCTGTATTTAAGAAAAAGACTTTTATATAAATTGTTAAAAGGAATAAAAGTCTCACTAAATCAGAGAAAAGTTACAGTGGTATGACTATTGAAGTAGGACGAGGAATAGTGATAAAGATAGTGCTGTCGCTGGGGCTCGAACTTGTGACCCTTGACTCTCCAACCCAATGCTCTACCGCTGAGCTAAAGGGAAATTCCTTACAGCTGACACATGAAAGGCGGCCTTAGCCTAATCAATGCTCATCTTTTACACTATATTTACCATATTTTGACGATGCCTACCACTCATACTAAGATGCCTACTGACAGCCGAATGTTTTTGTTGAAGGAGATATGGTAGTGCCCTAGACTGACTGATGGCTGTAGTAACTACATTTGTGGAGGGCTGGGATTTCGTCCAGACACTCGGGGAAGGCGCTTACGGAGAGTGAGTAACAAAATTTCATGTACATCAGGAATGATTGTTTAACCCTTTCACCCCAATGTAACTTTAATAAACTCTGCTATGCATTGATCTGGATGAGTCCATTGTGGTCAAAGCTCAAATATCAATTATATATAAGCAAAGAAATGATGTGGAAATCTATTAAAATACTTTTTTCTTACGAATCCAGTAGAACATGTACAATAACAACTCAAATTCATCGTCACCAGCTAAGCAGGAATTGTGTGTGTTATTGTCAACAAATTTCTCCAGTTAGTTGACTGGGCTTCATTATGATCCAGGACAACATTTTTTATGCTCCCCGAAAATTTTCGCATATATACTAAGTTGCCACTTTGTCCGTCCGTCCTTTTGGTGTCTGGAACATAACTTTACCCACATTTAAGCTAGGATCATGAAACTTGGTATGTACACCACTCATACTAAGATGATGTGCGCTGTGCCAAAGTTAGGTCCCACGACCCCTTATTTACAGAGTTATTGCCCTTTGTTGCGCTTTGCTAAAATGCTGTGTCCGGAGCATAGCTTTGTCCGCATTTCAGGTAGGATCACAAAACTTGGTGTGTACATCAGTCATACTAAGGCGATGTGCACTGTGCCAAATTAAGGGCCCACAGCCCCTTATTAACAGAGTTATTGCCCTTTGCTAAAATGACGTGTGGGAGCATTACTTTGCCTGCATTTAAGACAGGACCATGAAACTTTCACTTGGTATGTACATTAGTAATACTAAGGCAATGTGCACGGTACTAAATTCCAGGACCCAAAACCACTTAATTACAGAGTTGTTGCCCTTTCCTAAAATGTTGTGTCCGGAGCATAACTTTACCTGTAGTTAAGCTAGGATAAAGATTCTTGGTGTGTACATCAGTCACACTAAGGTGATGTGCACTGTGCTGTATTCAGGGTATGCAGCCCCTTAATAATAGAGTTATTGCCCTTTGCTAACATATCGAACACATATACATGTATGTATGTTAAAAACATTATTTTTATTCTTCCAAACTCCCCATTTCAACAATTTTTTTACCAATATGTGTCATAAATCTAACCAAATGCAAAATTCACAAACAGGAAAAGCCTCCCATAAAGTTGTTTTCACGGAGCATACATCTGTTCCACTGATACTCTTGTTTTTCTGTGTTGATGATGTTTATATATTGATGTCTTAGAGTGAAGCTGGCTGTCAACACTGACACACAAGAAGCTATAGCGGTAAAGATCATCAACTTGGAACGATGTCCTTCAGCAGCCGAGAGTGTTCGCAAAGAGGTAAGTGATGTCCACCATTGTCACCACGAGTTGTGTCCCTTTATCAGCAAGAGTGGTGTGTTTTTATCTGATGGTATGGGATTGCAGTGTATAGAAGAAATGGCCTGATTCTAAAAATAAAGGGCATGTCTGAGATATAGATGGATAGTGGATTCGTACTGCACAACACACCTACATATATGTATGTTTATATATACATTTTGTATTTATAAACTACATTATAAATACAAATGTTTAGATGATTTTTTTTCAAGAAGTGTTTTCCCCAGATTTTGGACTTGTGAACACCCTGGTTACCATATAAACAAAAAACCCATTTAACCCTAAATTTGACCCCCAAAGATAGAATAAGTTTTCTTAAAACCTGTCTTAATTAAAATATCACCTACTAAGTAACAAATATTCACATTTTAGCAAAGGTCATTCTTGTATAATTTTCTCAATTTTTACACATGTGCCAAGTACAAAAATATAGACTACATGAAAAGCTAGCTTTTAATTGTTGGCCAAAAACTGTACTCTCAAACCAAGTGCAACTTTCTTTCTTGAAATATCACAAAGCCCCCATAGTCCACTTCATTATGTATATATATGCCAATTTAAGTGCTTATAATTTTGATACATGTAATATTACAGGGGTTATTCATTGTACAAAATTACAATCTATGGCCACCGTTCGCTATTGACTGTGCACTGCTACCTGAATTGTGTTCCTTTATCGTTACCACGAGTTGTGTCCCTTTATGAGCAAGAGCGGAGAATTGCTTTGTAGTCTGTTTACATGATTTTCTTCAATTCCAGGTGTGTGTTCACAAAATGTTGAATCATGACAACGTGATCAAATTTTTCGGTTTCCGGAAAAATGGCAATATGCAGTATTTGTTTCTGGAATATGCAAGTGGCGGAGAGCTATTCGACAGAATAGGTATTTATTATAGTTTACCTGTGAAATGAAATCTTAAAGACATTATCAATGTATTATTTCAGATTTTTTTCCGAGTACTGTTTCTTGGGAATGGCTACATTTTTTAATTTCGGAAAATATTGATGGCATGTTGAAGCATCTAAAACCACAATTTTTCTTTCATCTTGTAATTTAAGCCCTCTTTTATCAGATGGTTGGCTGTACAACTTGCCTTTTTTTCGATCCTGAAGCAATTCTTGTTATCTACTCCTCACAGGGTATTGGACAGATCTTCAACAAATTTCATACGTTACAAAATTTGATATCAAAGAATTTTTGCTACATATCATATGGTTATGTGTCCAACTTTTGAAAGTGCCTGGATGTGCATCTTCTTTATCCACAACAGCTGAAGTATTATAATATAACCAACAGATTTGACGGATAAGATAAATTATAAAAGATTTCACCAGTTTTCATTATTTTATTTTTCCAAGATGTCACAAAAAACAGCACAAACGTTTGCTTTAACCCAATTGTCGATCATCAAACGAGTTTTAGGGGTGTTAAAAAACACCTAACGAAATGTTTTAGATAGCTCTAATGACATTTACTGGACGTGAATACACTTCTAGTTTATATATAAAGCCATTTAAAAAAACAACAAAAAAACAAATTGAAACAATTCAGCACTGGGAGTATTCCGTCTTTGCGTATTGCAGAGTTATCTTCTCTTGGGAGCAGGTATTGATTGTTACGTCACTTGTTTGTGAGAGTAACGTCATCAATTTTTGAGAAAACGACGTAATTTTGTCACACAAACCAATGACATAACAATCAAAACCTGCTCTCAAGAGAAGATAATTCTGCAAAACGCAAAGACAGAATAGCCATATAGCGACAATTCAGCACTGAAAGTATAGCCATATAGCGACAATTCAGCACTGGGAGTATAGCCATATAGGGACATTTCAGCACTGGGAGTATAGCCATATAGCGACAATTCAGCACTGGGAGTATAGCCATATAGGGACAATTCAGCACTGGGAGTATATCCATATAGTGACAATTCAGCACTGGGAGTATAGCCATATAGC